AATCAAAAGTGAATTTACAAGTATATTAAAATCTATAGTTGTTATTATGAGAAAAAATGAACCTGAGTTATTTTATATATTCAAAATCAGCTAAATGTATATATTATTGGTCAAGATTAGAATGATTCATTCGATTAATATCCTTTTTACCTTTTTAAAGACTTTATATTAGCAATCAGTGTGTCGGAATTATCGAAAATATAGGTTTTATTAGCTGTTCTTTTCACCCGGCGTTAATATACATCTGATATACTGCGTCGCCTTTTTTTTTCCTAGCAATTACTATTTTTGATTTCTTAAAAACCGCTAGAGAGATAATGACCAAACTGGCACAAATAGAAGCATCATTTTGTCATTGACGTCACTCTTTATTTAAAACAGAAGAGAACGAGGCAAAGGCAATGATTTCTCCATGAATTTTACTTATAGGTAAACTTCTCATATCACATTTTTCATAAAGGACTGATTTTTTTTGAGTTACGGTCAGCTGAAAGGGGTCCTTTTTGACATCTAGCGGTCTTCGTCGTCGGCATCCGTCCGTCTTTGAGAGACGATGGTGTAGCTTCCGGTTGGGTGTCCAATCTGCAGGTGAACGTTAATGCTTGTTGATGTTGTTGCTTCTCCTTTCTCCTGGCTCTCTTTGTAGCGATACTTGTGTTTATCCTTTCCTCGGCTTTCTGAACGCCCTGTCTGACAGAAAGGCGCCAGGCAGAACGATCGTCAGCACAGGTCTCCCAGTTGTTGATGTTGATGTTGGCCGTCTTCAGGTCCTTCTTGCAGACATCTTTGTAACGCAGACATGACCGTCCAGTCAGTCATATGCCTTCTGCTATTTCGCCGTATAGCAGGTCTTTAGGAATGCGGCCTGTATCCATTGTTCTGACGTGACCAAGCCAGCGAAGGCGTCTTTCGCTGAGGGTGGTGAACATGTTGTTCATGCTGAAGCGTTCCAGAACCTCAGTGTTGGGTACTTTGTCCTGCCACTGAACGCGCTGATTTCGGTGCAGGTATCTATAGTGGAAGCTGTTGAGTTTCCTTTCATGGTTCGTGTAGGTGGATGGTGCCTCTCTGCTGGATATGAGTGTGCTGAGCACGCAGGCCTGGTAGACGCGCTGATTTTGGTCTTCTCAGTGAGGCTGGCGGTTGTTCAATACCCTCTGGTTCAGTCTGGCAATAACTGCAGCTGCCTTGACAATCGTGCCGTTCACCTCTGCATCAATGGAGAGCGAACATCTAGTGGTAAGTGTCTAAAATGTCTACCACTGTGTGCGGATATAAACATCATCACGGAATTTCTCATTTTACAGAATAGGCAATATCGTCTCCTAAAACATCAAGCAGTATCAGTGCAAGTTTGGGGCTGTTTCATTAGACTAAGACATTATCACCGATCACTCAGAACTACTTCATGTCTGCCTTTAAACAACTTCTCCCAGTGCGTTTTATGAAACACTTTTAAGATCCAAGGAAAGAGTTCTATGGCTTGTACAAGTCACTTAGTAAGAGCTTAATTGTGGCTGTCGATATAAAAATCACGTGCTTATATGATCAGATTGAGCATGGCAATAAACGTTGTATGATTTGCTTTATGGTCAAGAAGAATTAATTTTCGAAGTTCTTATTCTTTTTTATGAGGCAAATTCGTTAAATTGGCAAAAATCTCGCGTCCTGGAGAAAACACTGCAAAATAATCTTTCAGTACACAAATTTCTATTTATATTTTTACCAGGTTTACATGCAACGTCCCTGCACGAACCAATATCATTATATCAGGGCGTGGAGAGGAGGTATCAGAGATGGACACTGTCATGGAGATAAGTTCTTCAAATATGCTTCGTCTGAGATAAATATATTAAATTCTCTTCAACTAGACTTTTAATGAATTTGTAACAAAATAAATTCAAATTTATTTAGCATATTTGGAGCCAATATAGATGACTTTGTCTTTGCATTAGTGTCCATTTTTTATATTGAGAACAATACACCCTTCGTTCACTTTACATGTGTCAGTCATTAATCACGGCAGTTCTACTTGGAGGTTTGTCTGGTTGATACAACTAACACTGATCTGCCAACAAACGTAAAACGTTATATTTGATCTTCACATTTTATCAACAAGCAAATGAGACCTTTATTTTGATTGGCTGAACGTGGGAACTCTACCACTCTCCCAATACATTTTTATGATAAATTTTTATGATACCCAGTCTAAATCTGGTAAATTCCGACAAAAGTGATAAAGATCATTTTGTATATGATTCCCCTTGGGCATGGACACACACACACACACACACACACACACACACACACACACATAAATAATAAAGTTAGCAAGTACACTTATAGAGTCAGCAAGAAATTTCCACACAAATGACAACACTGTTTTCCTATTTAAATAAACCATTGAATATTTACGCAACAAGGATTCGGCTGAAACAGATGAACAATAGCAACTGCCTGTGGCAAAGGGTAGCGGGAATACACTCATGTGAGCCTTTTGGGAGTTGTTTGAAGCACTAAATAATGAAATCTGATTAAGGTGTCACAACGGCAATTAAGTGTGTTGTTAATTAATTACAAACTTTTCAATCACAACACTAAAATAAAAAAAAAATGATTTAACTGTGTCGTTGTAATCTTTATAATTTACTTCCATTCTATCAAATCTAACCACAACTCTTCTCTACAAGCAGTGGATAAATCAAAGTACATATGGTACTAAGATGGTTTAAGATGAGCAGTGGAATGTGTACAAGAAGGGAGATAATTAATGTTCAACTTTAACAAAAATAGTGTGATAAAAAGTTGCTGTAGCTGTACAGTATTAGGGTCATATCAGCCTGTTTAAGAAATTTGATTAAGATCGGCGCAGAAATAACATATCCGGTAAGATTTTTATTCAGTTAGATGTAAGACCAAAAAATTCATATGAGTCGACCTCCTTTATAATAAATCTCATGATATAGCTTGATGATATAAGCCCAGTTTTTTAATATCTTGCAGTAATACGGTATCCAGAGTGGTAACAAGCCCAGCCAATCAGATGCAAGCTCGCCTCTTTAAATAAGCTAATCGTTATTTACATTTTTGCTATCTTAACGTATTCCTAGTGTGATCAAAGTCGTACGAAAAATATAGCTTCCTGTATGGTAAAAAGCTCAAATAATCTGAAACAAGATTAAATCATGAATATGCATGTTTCTCACACAGCCATGAAAAAATAATTCCCCAACCCTTGCAAGAAATTTAAAATTATTGCTGGGCAAGTACAGTTTCAATCGAATATCTCAAATAGCAATGTGATGAAATAAAAAATAATTTACGATCATTTTCCCCTGCATCTCCTTGTATGGCTAGTAAATGAAAATTGGAATTGACGTTTATATCCTCACACAGTGGTAGACATTTTAGACACTTACAGCTAGATGCTCGCTCTCCATATATGCTGAGGTGAACACATGATTTCCAAAGCAGCACAGTTATGGCCAGACTGAACCAGAGGGTCTCTAACAACCCCAACCTCGCTAATCACCAAATTAGTAACAAACTCGGCCATTCAACTGCAAGACTACCTTATTGATATGCTTGGATCGCTCAGCTAATCAGATGTATGATCACTACATTGATATGATTAGATCGCTCAGTCAGATGCATGATCACTTCATAGATATGTAAAGATCGCTCAGGCAATCTGACGCATGTTCACTACATAGATATGCATAGATCGCTCAGCCAATCATATGCATGATCACTTAATATGTTTGGATCTTGCTCATTCTTGATCAGGTCCAGGGACTCGATGATATTATTAAATATTCCAAATCTAACATAAAATTTGATCAGAAGCATAGACTGGATACAAGCAATTATTGAGGACACGTGGCCGACGATATACCATATGGTAAATTTATTGTTCGTATAACCAAGAAAACTAATGATGAGTAGGACACTGGAAATCTCATTCAACGCATTATCTATGCAAGAAACGCTCTTTGTCCTTAATAGCCCACCGTAACTTTGGCTAGAAAGACAAACCACTTTGATATTAAGCTTAATTTAAAATATTTAAACATTGCCTTAATCTAGGGCGTAGACCGAGGAGTTGTTTTCGTTTTTTGAGTTCGAAGATGACCATGCCATCATTAACAGGTTTGGTTGACGTGAGTATGTTAGTGGCTGTTGTGAAGAGAAATGTTGACACAAGTTAGAAACTGAGACAGGAAAATATAAGTCTGTGAAGGGTTAGGCATAGCCCATGTCAAACTGGTGTGAACTGTCGACGCCTCACTAGGTCGTAATATCTTTGCGAAGGTAGAAAATTGGCAGCCATTCAAGAGATGTTCAGAAGATATAGTAGAACCTGTCTTAAAAGACTACCCCTTCTGAGAAGAAATTATAGTCTATCAAGACAGGTGGTCTCTCATAACAGGTCATAACATTATATAATCAATAAATCTGTGCATAGAGAATATGGTCTTTTAAGACAGGTGATCTCCTGTAACAGGAGTGTTTCAAGACAGGTTTTAATGTATAGTTCAACCATGATACTGGTCTAGAAATGAAAAAGTCTTTTGGAATGACCGCCCAACGCGAAACAGATTTGAGATATTATGACTGCGCCAAGCAATGCCTGCATTGTAGTATATACATATTGACGGCTGAATCTGCAACTTATACTTTTATTACATATAAAATGAATTACGTTTCCCATTTGTCCATAGGGGTGAAAAGGCTATGCCACATTGTAAATAACTCGGTATCACGTGCTTGTCCAGATTACAAACTTCCTGTAGTTATGGAACGCGCACGCCTGTATGTGATTTATATTTTTAATGTATCTTTAAGAATTGTTCAGTCATATCTCTAAGATGTATATGGTGTGGCAGTTTATGGTAATGTTTAGCACTTGGGCATCATGCCACAGTCACATTAACTCTAACTTCTCAATGATAAGCGCCAAGCGAGGCAGTAGCTACTACCAGTTTTAAAAGTTTTTGGTATGATTCGGTCGGGTTTCAAACACGCGACCTCCCGTATCCTAAACGGTCGCTCTAACCACTTAAGCCACCGGAGCGGTATAGAACTTGTACATGATTCTATACATTACATGCGGCATGAGGCACCAATTACCGTATTTACATTTTTATGTTGCCTGGCACCTCTCATTTGCAATTTTCAAATAATTTTACTTGAATAACATGCATGCTGGGTAGTATCCATATTTGGAACAGTTTATCCCAATACAACGCCTCTTACACAACTCTGTTATTCTGGGAAAGTATATATTAATACATCGCCTCTGTGGCATCGAGTTTCCATATTGAAGGACATTATGTCTCAATACACCGGCCATAAAGGTTCCGTAGTTTGGGACATTATATCTCAGTACACTGCCCTTGTTACGCAACCCTATTATTTTGAGACAGTGTAACTCAGTATAACGCCCATGTTGCATACAGTTTCATTAACTGGGATAGAATATCTCCATGGATCGCCTTTCTTACACGTTACAGGCTATCAGTATTTTACACAGAGCATACTAACGTGGGGTAATGCAGTTGTGAACACTGCGATTCTCGTTGATAATCATGGTAATCCTTATGGTTCTTTTCAAAATGAATTCGTATTTAGGGGCTCTGAATAAGATTAAACTTAAAAGGAACCTCATTATTACGCGGTGCACTACTCTGCTGAAGATGTGTCATCACTCAACCCTGTTTCAGTTCAGCTGGTTGAAGAAACATTAATGGATAGATGTAACTCGAAAAATGTTCATTGGATTTATACGTGGTTTGCAATATGATTGGTCAGCGGTACCTTTAATCACCGACAAGTACTTATTATAAGCTAATTTGATATGTCTCTTAGCATACAATACAGATGATCAAGTAACTACCAAGATGCTTGTCACATCTTAATTTTACTGGCACAATAATGAGACAACACCGGTCAAGTCAATCTTGCAGAAGTAAAAAGAGGTCTACCCGAATATTTTTAGTTGCTTCCGGTTCGACGCAAATCTCAAAACATAGAGCTCGTGTTCGGCTGTAAATATTTGCTTATTTGTATCAAAACCAGTAAGTCTGTCGGTAGAAACAATCGCCAGTATCAGAGGTAACGTGGGTTATCGCCTTTTTTCGCTTATCGAAAGCGACGTTTAGGATGTATGCCCCATGTACGTGTACTAAAGTCAATGAATTACTACAGCCGTCTTAGCTCTATTAGATATTAATGGTTTTTGGTCTGAGAGACAGCCTTTCAAATAAAATGAAAAGTTAAAATAATTAATAATATTCTGAGGTTAAATATATTCTAATTATTTTTATCCCATGGTCGAGGCCATCAACTTGAGTGAGGATGGCATCAAGTGATCTAAACAAACTGGCATGTCAGCTGGATTTCACAAAATTAAATTACCTGTATTGATTTTCAGCGTTGATAATTACCATTGGTAATAAGCGCAAAAACGTACATAAGTTCTTCATTGTAACTTTCATCAGATATTTGACTTGTCAGTAGTTTCTCCGAAAACAATATTTTTAAAGGAAGAAAACATTAACACGTATGCAATAAAAACAGATAAGGAAATAAAATTGTTTGAGAGGAAACGTGATTGCTTCCAGAGGACACAAGGAATACAGAGCAATCACTATATTTGTAATTGACAAACATGGGTGTGTATGCACTCTTCCTTTTCTATACTGTTTTAGACTGTTATGGACATAATCAGATGAATAATACAATATTACGGTGTATATAATAATTGCTTATCATTAGCTATATTAAATAAATACCCTACACACTATAATGATCTACCCATGGTGACGGGTGGATTGTGGTTAAACGCATGATGTATACGGAATAAGTTTGTCGACAAATACGTTTACAAAAGATGTGCGTAAGCTTTACGACGGGTGTGTGTGTGTGTGTGTGTGTGTGTGTGTGTGTGTGTGTGTGATTGGATATTTACCATACCTTTAACAATTTGCCAATCATATCGCTACGTTATCTGCAGCGTGGCAGTTTATAGTGATGTCTATGTGGATTGTGGTTAAACGCATGATGTATACGGAATAAGTTTGTCGACAAATACGTTTACAAAAGATGTGCGTAAGCTTTACGACGTTTGTTTGTGTGTGTGTGTTTGTGTGTGTGTGTGTGTGTGTGTGTGCGTGTGTGATTGGATATTTACCATACCTTTAATAATTTTCCAATCATATCGCTACGTTATCTGCAGCGTGGCAGTTTATAGTGATGTCTAACACTGGGGCATAATGCCGCATCATATAACACCTAGTTATATTATCCTCACGCCAGGCCGACCAGTTCTTAAACTAACATCTTAATACTGAGCGCCAAGCGAGGCAACTGTTAGTACTATTTTGATATGTCTTTGGCTCAGTGGGGACTCGCGACATTCCGCATCCCAGGCGGACGCTTTGTCCAATAGGCTACCAGAGCGGTTACTTTGCATGGTTAAGAGGTAATGTTTATATCATATATTCAACACAAATGTGTCATGAACATGTTTTTTTTTTTAAAACTCTCACGGGGATTTTATTCACACATTTAAAAATGGACAAGTCAAATCGTAGTAGAAATTGGGCATTTTTCACAAAGCTATCTAATTACCATGAAATGTTCCTGCACATAATCGTATATGCATGTAAAATTGTACAGAACATAGACTCGTGTACATCATTCGCGGAAACACATGACACGGTTTTGCTATTGGCAGGAAAATATTTATTGAAAAATGTACGGAAGAAAGAGCAACGTATTCTTTAAGACCGTGTAACGCTTCAACCATTGTATATCAAATGTAATAAAGTACTTTAATTTAATTTATTTATATTTTTAGGTAAAGAGTATGTGTTTCATTAAGTTCTTGGGGATTAAGAGGTGTCTCATTTCCTTTGCGATTACATTGACCGAGAGGACCCTCATTGGTGGATTCAAAGATTCAAAGTCTGCCCCAACAGTGGTCAACCGTCCATCAACAGACGGATCGCGTCGAGAATAATTAATGTAGATTACAAATTTGGATTGCCTTTGCATTATTCTTGCCAATGCTTCCATTTTTATATTTGATAAGTAATGCATCGCAGTATACATCAATTCATTTCCAATATTCGCGTAAACACTTAAATCCCGCGTACAAAAAAGGGCAAGGTAGGCAGGTATAATAATTTCAGCTTTATTCAAACAAGACTTGCTGCAGTACAAAATAATTCGCAAATACATATTACAAAAGATGACAATTCATAGCGGAGGATTTGAAAATGGCTCATGAATTATTCAAGAACCTTTTATCAGTTTGACATAGAGGCAAAGAAATCCTTATTCAAACACCTTTCAAAATTATTCGGACCACCTCGTCTATTTCTGCGAATAAAATATGCCTAAAATGTATTTTGGTGCAGTAATTTGTATAAAAATCATATTTTGTTCCCCACAAACTTCTTCACAATTGAGAAACGTCAATCTATTTGGACCACCTCCGCTATTTCTACGATTCGATTAACCGTGGAATTATCTTAGAAGCTGCGAATGCATGTAACTATTTTTTTCGTTTCACTGGCAGCAACGAAGATAATCCAATGGTCTATCCAATCAGTCAGTCTTTGGTTCCTTAAAAAATGGAGGTGGTCCGAACAGCAGCTAATGATCTTTACCAGCTGATCTGGGAACTGCGAATGTTATCGAGTGTCGACAAAATGGTGAATAATTCGGAAACTTCGAAATTATCCCATTGTTCTAGATGGTACTGACCTTAGAACCAAAACTTTCACTTACTGCTTTTGGTAAAAACCTAGGAATGTTGGTGGTGGTGTTGTTGCAGTTTTTGGGTATAACACCATTTTTAGCACAACTGTATATGTTTTTATAATGGCTTATATTTCTGATATTAGAACTAATTTGAAATAACGGAGATTGTCAGATTGATGTGCTAATACTTTAAATTTTGCAGTTGTGTTTTCCTATGTAGATATATATTGTTATTACATCTATTCTTGGAATATTGGCAAATTATAATGAAAACTCTCAACCAGAGTGAACAACTTCCTCCAGTAACCTGTACAGATGTTAGGCTGTTGCTCAGCCCGAGCTATTAAGTCATGTATAAGCAAGCTATAATCTATTCTCTTGGAAAAATATCCTGCGGCATGTGTTTGATGTCCAAACATTGCCACGGGAAGAGTGTTAATCTCATAGGCAATGTTACAGGATAGGCCGGAGACCCGGAATCTTGAATCAGCACAGGCGATAGATACCACCACTTCACACCTATGTGTTACAGCTTAGTCCTAAGATCAGGGGGAAGCCCGGGAAGTGAACGACACGTGATCTCGTCCGTCCCTACGTTGACAGACAGCAGGAGGGACATTTCTGCTAAGTTTGATTGAATCGGTCCACGTTAATATATTCAATCAGAATTGAGCTAGAGTCTGTGATTACAATTTAGATCGGAATTTTACTTCAAATTCGTAAACGAAAATTTAGTTTCATCTGGGAAGATTACTGAGCAATAGGGTTACTCCGAGAGAAGCCACTCGTAATTTGGCAGCATAACTTAGAGGTTTTTTCTAAGAAAATAAAAAGCTTCGAAAAGGTTAGTAAGTTATTTGCTCGACTTTTTTCAGAATATTATGGCATCATAATTGTAATTACTTTTAGTCTGTATACTTAAATACTAGCATCGTCTAGTATGTAGAATTACCTTTGTAGTGTTTCGTTTACATGCGTATTTGAGAAATGGGCTTGCGTATTACGTAAAACAATTGTGTAGATTGTTAGATTGTGGTCAGAATAAATTTGTTAATTCGCTATTAGGTTATTTCGTAGTAAACCAGTGCATTTATGAATGCGTTATGTTAAATTTACGCATGTTTGAATTGTGAGATGGGAAAATGATTGAATTATGTAAGTTTGGTTACCATAGACGTATGTATATATCAGAGCATGGATGTGTGAATATTTGTGTACTCTGTATGAGTGTAAGGTAAAGATATGCGTCTGATTATTGTAATATTGTTTAATATAAGGGGATTAGGAATATATACCGATGTGACA